GTCTGGGCATGGCGCTGTGGGTTATCTAGGGCTTGTGTAAAGTTTCGTTGCGTCTCCCTTGTATCTATCTAGTTATTGTACTCTCGGATTTTCATAATGCGACATGGCGTTATTATCACTTACAGTATCTATAAATACTGTCAAGTCTCAATCCTTGTGACAATATCACTTGATGTTAGGCCTTAGCAAACTCCCTGAAGCCATATCTGTACTACTTACAGGCAGACTGTATCAATTTGATGGTGTTGGGTAGGGATTTTACTAATGTGATTATTGACTATGTACTGATTTGAATAAATCACCATATAAACAAAGCTGAGTGCAGGACATATTGAGACGGTTAAATATGCAGACCCACAAGCAAAACCCCGATAATGCTGTTGAAATAGACCACGGAAAACAATATGCTTATGCATGCTGTCTAAAATGCTGGGCAATCAAAGCAAGAGATATAATGACCCACGCAGCACTTCGCTCTACCAATCAAGCAATTGGATTATATCCAATCAAAGCAAAGCATAGCCGCCTGGATCAATCGGATCCCAAGGTGCAACTAGGACTAAGGCTTGTTATCCTCACCTGTAGTCTGATGAGTGACCAGGTGAACATGCCTCTCCGGCTCATCGGGCTGACCCACGCCGGGCTGGTGGGACGGCGAACGAGGAGGGATCACCGAACCACCAATGCTAAAGAATCGCGGGCGGGGGATTGCACTCCGGAAACCACGCTTGCGGCTGCGGTAACTCGCATCCTCCCCCGTTGTGAGAGGTGCCGCTGTAGGAGGTGTTGCCGTGCTGTGCGTGTGACTGGTGTTTGAGATGGGGACCGGATCGCGCTCCTCGTATGTGCTGGTGCTGATGCTGATGACGTTGGATATGGTTGCTGGGAGGTTATAGCCGGCTTTTCCAACGGGGACTGAGAGGCCATGCACAACCTGGGTTCGGTTAGAAGATGAATAAGATAGGAGGATGTGGCGATTTGGTTATTCGGGGAGAAGACTCACAATACTGCAGATTACTAGGAACCAGACCACAGTCTGGATGGTCTCCAAGACTTGCTTTACGTCCTCTGGGACTTCGCCGTTGACTTGGATCTTGCGCAGGAATTCAAGGCTGACTGACAGGTAGAAGATGGCGCCCACCCCGATGGGACCGAAGAAGCCGACAAATGCAGCCTGGGAGACGAGGTCGATCTGCGGGATCCATTTGTGCATGGCGAAGACGATCGGGAGGCGGCGGACTAGGAGGATCAATATTCCCAGGAAGATGAGCCGATAGATTGGGATCACGCTGTTGTTTAGGAAGGATGACCATGGGCAGACAGCTCCAAACCACATGAAGACAGACAGGTTAAGAAGCATATCGATTGTCGGTTGGAGGGAATCGTCCATGGTTTCAAGGCGGAACCAGTCACTGTCTCTGTTAGTATTCATAATATCATAGCCCATGTCGCGGTGACCTACTCTTGCGTGAATACGTTTCCAGCAATGAAACAGGCAAGAAGATCATCTGTCCCAATCAAACCGCAGGTTCCCACAATGAACAGCTTTGAGAGATCAGCAAAGCATATTTCCTTTAGGATTTTGAGGTAAACTCACTGCAAGAGCAATGGCAAACACTAAAAAGCTCTCCCGGTCAACATAGCGCTTCTCCTCTGCCCAGTGCAACAACTTCCTCGCAATCCAACCGACCAGGGCTCCATAGACCACACTCAATAGAATGGTGTATACCCAGGTCTCATAGACCCACAATGCCATCGCCTTCCCAGCGCCACCGCTATAGCTCTGGCTTGCCATCCCAGTATACTGGAGGAGATAGATCCCAAAGAAAAGGAATGGATAGCCAAGGCCATCATTAGCGCCAGATTCAGCAATAATAATCCTCTGCAGCTCACGGGGAACATGTTTATCGGCAAATTTGCCCTTGACAATGGAGTTGGACAAAACGGGGTCGGTTGGGGTCACGCATGCGCCGATAATCAGGGCATGGAGGAACTTGAAATTTGGAACCATAGCCCAGATCACTAGGCTACTGCACATCCACATAGCAGCCATGCCTGGTCCAAGAAGGAGCCCTAGGCTCCGCCATTCGATCTGCAGATACCGCTTTGGGAGCTGGACTCCGGCTAGGACTAGCTGCACGCCTAACACTAGGCGGGTAAAATGCAAAGTGATTGCTTCACGGTTTTCTTCAGAGTGGAGTGCATAGTCATCTGGTCTGATGAAATTGGCTGCATGAGGAGAGAATAACACTCCGGCTAGCAGCGAGATTACTATTTTCTTGTTAGCGAATGTGGTGATACATTCGGACGATTTAACGCTTACATGCTTCGGATAGGTAGAACTGCTCCTTGCAAAGGTACGATACAAGCCCGAAGAGGGAAATAAAGCCTCCGAGTGTCGCGCAGACGATATTGAAGTCGATCAAGGCGAGCGTCGGCATTTTGGTCTGCACTATATCCCGCTTGAAATGTTCTGAGTTGTGAGGGAGAGGGAAGCCCAAAATTTTTAACTAAGATGAGTATATCGGATTCGAATGAGTCAGATCAGTGAGATCTAGAGTCCTAGACAAATGTCTGTCAAGGTTGAACGAGTATAAATGTTATTGAATCATAGTTTGGATTTCCTGTGTGATTGTAGACAAGTTCATCTGGATGTACTGAAATAGCTTCAGAGCAAATGTTAGCATGGGTATGGCGCTATGAAGGTGAAAATGAGAAGATGAGAAGAGGAAAAGAGGAGAAAAGAAAGAACTCTGTGGGAAAAACATAAACATCCCAGGTCTTGGCATCTGACAGGCTAAGATGGACATCGAAACTATAAAATGACTATATTTACATTATATGCACGTTAGATGTCCATTAGGTGTACATTAGATGCTTACTATTCCATTATTCAGTATGCAAGATGTTCTTTATTTCCAGTCGAATGCCTAGAAATCTTCATACAATTCATCTGGCACCTCTTGGGCCTGCAGTGCCTCTGCCTTAGCAGATACTCCCCTTTGGGCTCCATTGACGGCTAGTTTATCGGCCTCTTCATTGCCGTGGTCTTTATTGTGACCTTTAACCCATTCAAACAAGGTCTTCACCTTAAGGTCATTGCGTTCCTCGATTTTGATCAGAATCGACTCAATCAGATCCTTGTTCTCAACTGGCTTCTTGTCCCGGGTCATCCAATTGTTGCGACGCCAATTGATAAACCATACGGTAACACAGTCAATCGAATATCGGCTGTCAGTGATTATGGTTACATCTCGGTGCCGAGGTGCAATATCAATTGCCCGAAGGATGGCGGTCAACTCAGCACGCTGGTTCGTTTGACGACTGCCTTTTAATGGCTCCGATACATTTCTGCTGGGATAAGTGACACGAGTTAGAAGGGATAGTGGAAAATAGTCCAATGGGCGAATGTACGAACCTTGAATCGCCAGGCCCGAAGTATACCCCTACCCCGGCCGATGCTAGTGGGGTACCATTCCTTAATGAACTCCCATCAGTGTATATCCGGAGCATTCCTGGGATACCTGTTGATTGTGTCTTTGTCGCTGCAATCTGGGGGGCGGTCTTGTACACCACCTTGCCAGTGGCTGGGTCTAAAATGACGTTGGGGTCAAACCCATCCTCCGCTCCTGTCGGCAATGGGCCCTCGCCTGGCACGAACTCGACCCCTTTTGCGTCTTTTGGCTTTTCCGTCGTTAACCCATGAGGCCTAGAAGGCCCAGTTGTCACGCCGAACCCGACTGGGGGCTGTGTCTGTCCTTCCCGTACAAACTCCTCTGCCTCTTCACGGGTGGAGAACTTGCGATATCGAGGTCGCGGAAACCCACGAATCTGCTCCTGTGCCGTTGTCCAGTCTGTGTATACTCCAGTAACCCGGCCCCTTTGGATTCCATAGAATCGTGTGTTCTCCGAGCTCTGCGATTCAGCTGGGAGCTTGGTGCCGTTCAGAAACGCGTTGGCCGCTTCTTGTGAGGGAAACGATTGGACTGGAGAGCTTACGTGTCAGTCTCTGGCCAAATCTGCGCGCCTATCCGAGGAAGCACTGCGAAGAGCGCACTCACAAATTGCTCCCTTGAATCCCGTTATTTGAGCCAGACAGTCATTCCATCCATAGTAGATACCCGGTTTGTGACCCGCCTTGACGGCATAATATTTAGCCGGGGCAGTTCTCTTGCGTTTTGTGCCTGCGGTCGGCGAGCGCGAGGGTTTCGAGCCTGGCGAAGCTCTGGGGACGGGGCTCGGCGAGGGTGTAGTCTTATTCATCGCGGCGGATTGACCGTCCCTGGGGGTCGAGTCGAGGATTGTGAGGGTGGTGGAAGTACGGAATATCCTCTTGCAGGTCCCAGTTAGAAATTCACGGTTCGACGTTGTATTCGTGGCTGGGCGGACGGGAATAAATCGAGGAGTAAATCGCGGGCAGCTCAGAAGGGAACACCAAGGTCCCAACTGCAAGGCTGACCAAACACGGCCGGGAATCTTGATTTTCCTGAATGTTGTGTGATTGTGGGAGAGAGAACAGAAAGGTAGAGACGGTCACTTCGAAAGTCGAGGAATTGAAAATAAAGAATAAAGAGGGGGAAGGGGAGGGGGGAGGATACTCAGTTCGGCCTATTGCCAGCGCCTGTCGATCTTGATCTGACACCAATTTCTAATTTTGACAGAAAAGACATTATTACTTGTTTTTGGCTTGCTAATTGATTATTTGATTTTGTTTTCATAGTGTAGGTTTGTGCTGCTTCTAACGTTTGTATATATATATATATTTCGGACATGAGGCCGATATCTCGATGCCCCGACAAGAAGATGCAAAACAATAGATACTGGGAATATAGAGCTAAAATCCTGCCTTCAATCGCTCTAATATCACCTTCACCTCCTGCTGAGTAGACCGCACAACATGCTCAGCAGAGACTACCGCATTGATACTTCCAATACTCGCACCTCTATTGAATCCATTAACACAGGGAATCCAAGAGACTACAGTTTAGAGCCCGGGATACTCACGCCCATACTGTCCTCCGTTGATGCCCCCCGGCTTCTCTAGCCTCATTGTACCGTCGGATGATTTCCTCGTCGTTGATCCCATTTTGAGAATCCTCGTAACTAGCCCCAATAACAGCCCTGCCATCATACCGTCTCGGAAAGAGATCGGTTGACTGGAATACGTCATGTCGGATGGACTTTATGGTTGAGACTCCGCCATCGCCCCTCGATATAATGGTCTGCTTAATCGCAGACGGTGCAAGGCATTCCGAGGTCGCAACGAACTGACTCGATTAGCAACGTTCTATGCCCATGAGAAGAAGCAAGACGTACCCTTGTGCCCATGACAATCCCATCGGCACCTATTTCTGTCAATTAGCTGCAACAATAAAGTACGAAACAACCAACCTAGGCCGAGAGTAGCAACACAGCCCCTCCCATCCACAATGCCACCAGCTGCTAGTACAGCAGTGCTCGTATCCTGAGCCTTTGACAGAAGGTCTCGTACCTCAGGCAAGAGGGATATCAAGCTAGCACCCTGGGCCCACTGATGCCCCCCTGCATCGGTTCCTTGAACCACTAGAACATCCACTCCCTGCCGAAGTGCTTCTTCTGCAGCTTTGATAGTTCCTACCTGGATAAAGATCTTGATATCCCAGTCAGAACTTTCCTGGGCCCTCCGAATGGCTTGTATGATCGGAAGATGATCGGCGTCAGCCCGAGGGAAGGACAGCCAGACTGCCGCTACTCGATGCCTCCGGAGTATGGGAACGGCGTTGTCAACAAGCCCGTCTAGCTGGAAAGTAATGAAACCGACACCAAGCGGCAATGGTTGACCATCGGTCAACCCGAGGACAGAGCGGGCATTTGCCAACTGAGCATCCAAGCCTAGGAGCTGGGTAGATTCAGATTTGAAATCAAAGCCTCCGCCAATAAACCCTATAGATGGTCAGTCTAATATCTGCAGCCAGGTCGGTTTGCTATACCGAATCCTCCGGCCTTTGTGACTGTAGTTGCTAGGCCGGCATCGGCAAAGCCGAACATTGGTGCATTAGCAATGAAAGGAGAAGTCGTATGAGGAAACCATTGTAGGATGTTTACAGTCATCGTGAGATCGAGGTATGAAGGGAACAGTGAGATGCGGGGAATATATGGCAACCTCGGGATGTACCTAGGTGGCTATACGTACTTGATTTCCTCTGCCGGGCGGGGCTTTCCTATCTTAGCTGCCGCCGCTTTTATGAGGGCGCTCAGAGTCAGGTTCACTGAGTAGATGTCAGTCCGCGCTCAGACTCATTGAGCTGCTCAGACTAGTCACGTGATTGATCAGAGAGGTCCAATAAACGCTCAGTGAGCGCTCAGTAAGTCTGATTGGATGCTCACTGATCGCTCTTACATAATTGTATGGTTTTATGCTGGTTTTTTTAGGTATTTCATTTACAACGAATTTAATGCTACAATATAGTCGGCATTAAATGAGATAAGAGGCTTAAAAAGAATTTATTCTTCGTATTACTACGAATCAATCATAATAATCATATATATCATCCTCACTCCTAGGACGCTTCTGACCCCGATTCCTTTTTGACATACGTATCTAGGTGTTGCTTTCGTGCTACAACGGAAGATCATAATTGACTAACTAGGCGTAAGGGGCTGGTCGTCAAAGTGTAAGGAAAAGAAGTCCTCTAGAGGGTCACTTACAATTTGCGACGAGGCAACCTAGGAGGAGGGACCAGTATTACAGTACTAACTGAATTAAGACATGATTCGAGTAAGGAATAATCGTGTATGGTGTAGGATAGAAATATATCTCTCTTATAATACACACATTCTACCATAACTTCCTTTTTGCACCACTAAAGGAGATCACTAGACTCTAAATTTTACTTAGGTTAGTCATAATAATATTAAATCAATAAATACGGGTTCATTTTATAAAATTTCAACTAATATTATAGGCGTAATATGGTTAAAGGTGAGTACTAATAAAAACAAGTGTAAATAACGGTAAGTTATTATGATAACTTAGCATTTATCCATCCATTTTAGGTTAGTTATGCTAGCGTGGGAATTTTTTTTTGTCCCATAGGAATTCCCATATTTCCCATAGGCTGCACCAAGGGGGGGTGCCCGGCCCATGGGATTTATAGGCATGTACGGTGGGCCGAAGACTCTAGGGTGCCCATGGGAAATGTCAAGGTCTAATTTACACCCATCTCGCGTAGTAGTTCTTGAACTATATACGCAGTGTGTGTAGGTGCGTTATCATATTGGAAGATAGCATCTTCATTTGCAAGTAAGGTAGGAAGAATACCATGGTAGAGATTGTAAATAACCTCTTTTGTGATACCCTTCCGCTCTGCATTTGGATCTCCGTATAGAGGAATAAGGCTAGTTTTTCGTGGAGCACCTGAGAAACAGGCCCAAAACATCTGTTTTGACTGCTTCCCTTCCGAGAGTGTCATTTGAACCCCGTAATTCCGATTCTGAAGCTGATTTCTAGGAGGAATAAAAGTCCATTCCTTCCGAGCACCTTGTCCACGTTCAACTGTAGTCTCGTCTGACCAAAAGACCGGTCGAACGAGGGACACTAATGTGAACTGATACCAAAAACTTACTATACCGAGCAAGTGGTAAAAATGAGTGTGTATTCTAAAGAGCAGCAAGTGATCGACTATTTATCCCCGTATGGGCTTATAAAGCAGTGCCGATCCTCTGAGTACTCCAGCAAGTGATGCCTCAGGTGGCTACTGGATCTAGAAAGTAAATATAAAAATGACGGAGTGGGGTAAGGGTAATTCCGGCTGACAGACCCTTTTCCAATCCTCAGGTGTAAAGTGACGATAGGTAAGGGCCCAATTAAGACGTTTCGCGGCGTGAATAGGCGTAAGATAGGGTCGATCCATCTTCCGTCATTTTCGAAGGCCCATTTCATGGGTTAAACGCCAGATCGAGTGCCTTTTAACCTTATAATCGACCTCAGCAAGCAGGTCCTCACGCGTAATATCCGGACGGGACTGAATAGCATCATACACACGATCTCGGTCCTCTTCAGTAAGCTTCCGAGAGTGGCCAGGGCGAGGTATTGAAATACCGTGAGCGCGCTTTGCTTCCTGGCGTAAGGTGTAACGAATGGTTGAGAGAGGAATATGAGGGTATGCATGCTTTTGAATGCGTTTAGCACCCCATTTTGCTGAGCGCTTTAGCTCACATATACGCTCACGAACGTACGGTGGAAGCTCCGGGCCGCAGGCCATAGTAGTAGAGAGTATAGAGAAAGAATTAGAAAGGTAAATAATAGGGGGGAAAGAGGGTAGTAGCCTCTATAATACTAGTATACTATACGCGCTGCGCGCGGGGTTTATACTAGTAGGAATAGGCAGGCGGTACGAAAGAGCGGTCAATGGTGAAGGTACTGGGGTGCAAATACTCATGCAAAGCCACTATACAATTCTCTCCCACACGTAACATGATACATACGACCATAGGGTGTGGAAAACAGGGCTTCCCGTCCGCTCAGCTGTACTTAAGCCACACGCCGGTGAGTTAGTAGTTGGGTGGGTGACCACCAGCGAATCCTCACTGTTGTATGTTTTTGTTTTTGTTGCTTTGTTTATTTGTGTCAGGTGTATAGATAAGTGGGTGCGGAAGGTTGAAAGGTGGTTGAATGAATCTGTTAATTGCGAAGGAATATGAACTGGAGGTCATCGGAAGCACTCGTCTAAGACCCAACCGGCCCTTCATCATTGTGTAAAAAAAAAGGAAAAAGAAAAAAGAAACTGAAGAGGGTTGTTAGTATGAACTGCGATATTATGTATGCCCTGGTAATTGCGTGACTTTAGCTTGGATTTAGCAGAACTGAGATGCTTACAGACCTAGGCCTACCAAGCTTCCGAAGCAATATTACTTTTAGAAAACTGAATATCATTGTTCCATTTATAACAGTTAGACAACAGCTTGCATCTCGTCAATCAGGCATCTGGTCAATCAGGCATTGCCTTGACATGGCTTTACCTTTGGCGGATCTACGTCTGCGTGAATCCTGTGATACAACGAGCCTGAAAGGGTCAACCGACACCTGATGTTGCAATTCAATCACTCGCCTCCGAGTCCATGTTATGGCTGCATCACCCGATTTGTCTTCCCTATAAGTGCATGCACCTTTCTCCAACAGCAATCTAACCTTTGACATTTCAAGTTTGACAAGGTGTGGGGATATATTTCCGATTGTCAAAGCGGCTAGGAAAATGTTAGATTTTCCCATTCGACTAAAAAGCCTACAATTGTAGTAGTAGAGGATCTTTCTAGCATTTTCAATAGAAAAGCGTCATCCTCCTAGCGTGATTGGCTTTATCTATATCTGCGCTAGTTGCTAACTGATATTCGAGTATTTTATATAACTGTGGACTTAAAGACCCGGCGACAAAGATTAAAGCAGTATTACTCTGGCGATCCCTAAAGCTGGATTCTATACCACGCTTAGTTAAAAGTTGCCCTAAGTTGAAAAAAAAAACCTCCTTTTGTAGTAAGGATCAAAGCTATACTGTTTTTCAAAGGGCTTGTGGCCTCTATAGAGACGTCGTCTCCTAATTGCTTAATTACAAACATTGCCAGTCCTAGGCAACCTATCTTAGATACTATTGTAAGGCTTGACTCCCCAGCGGTCCTTCCGATAATTGCTAGGGTCAATAGATACCCTAGCGAGCTTTGGTTTTGTCATTTCGATATTCACGGCAAGACCCGGCGTGAAAGCGATGGTCTGTAGATGTTCCTTATAGTCGTCGGTATTTGTACCAAAGTAGGATAAAAGAAGGCACCAGTCCAACGATTCGCTGTTAGCAGCGGAATGAATTGGTCTCATTCTACGAAGGCGATCCTATATATCAGGCGTAGCACCTTGACGAAGAGGAACAAGGTAGTTTCTACCTTCACCGACTTGCAACGACGTAAAGGGTGTCTAGCCATTGGAACTTTAAGTGTCCATATTATATCTAGGGCACTCGAGAAGTAGACGCAAGATACGTGTCTCCTATCAGAATGGCGCAATAAAAGAGTTGATTCTTATTACCTATCGATATCGTATGACGCGGGCCGTCTTAAACATTGTTGTGCCCCTACATCATTGAACCTAAGGAAGCAGCTATCAGGTGAAAATTTTCATACGAAGGCAAATTCCCATGGTTTCTGTCTCCGTTCTAAGAATCCTACCGGCTTTCATCCTAGATATGTACTACTAAGGGTCTCACTCGCGAAATGAATAGCGGGATCTGAAATAGATTCATATTGCCAAGAATGAAAAATTTCGACGGCAGTAAGGACGGTAAACAAATATTTGCAACTAGTGAGTAACCAATTAGCTGTCTTGAAAATTCAACGGAAAATGGTCTCTATAACATAAACGAAGTGGAGTAAGCGGAGAGAATGCCAACCTAATGATTTTTCCGCGGAACTCGGGTCGCCCTGTGATACAATTGAAATACGGTATGACCCTGAAATTATATGGATGCATACCGCACCGCTCCGGCCCGACAGGGTCAAAGCAAAAGGTCGATTTCAAGCTTCGTTCTCTTGGCAGCTTAGTTCTCTTGGCAGCTTAGTTCTCTTGGCATGTTTATAGAGCAACTTATTTTTTAGAATAAAAGCTGTTGAGATGGATGCCTGGTTCGTTAGGCCTTGTTTTCTAGGCGGGCCAGCGATATAGGTAGCTCTCTGTTTGTTTGTAGAGAATTCAATCCTTTCTTCTCTCTCCCTCTCTGGCTTCTAGCAGCTCTAACAAAAGCCTAGTATTATATAATGATATATCTTTTTGTAAAGTATCTAACATGTGTGGTTGTCGAATCATAATTCTTTAAAATGCACGTGAATCTCAAATATATATAGTGCCGTCTATATTAAACCGGTGATGGGAATATGCTGGAGAACTTTGGAAACCTACAATTCGATATCTAAAATACTCGTCGCCATAATTTGCATGTATTGTACCATATATTTAGAGCTAATATAGAAGTATTTAAAAAAATATCTTGTTGTATAAATCCATCAAAAACAAGAAGTCTTGAAGTCGGGATTTTTTGATGGAGATTATGAGTTGCGAAAACAATATCCAAAGGAGCGTGGAACTCAAACGCCTTGGTTTGTGTACTCACACACAACAAAACTTTGAACCTACCACAACAATGTAACTAGCTATGAGACCTGTATGTGTTCCATGCGGCTACTTTGAAGGTTATTGGTCATGTTACTAGAAACATCGAGCTGCATCCGGTTTGAAGAACAGCCCGGCAGACATCTTGTACATAGTATTCAAGTTGCTATCATCTGCCGATTTCCGCGTACTGTGTCTTCTCGATAAGAACTCCCGCAAATCTGCTAACTATCTCTGTCTCGAAGGTTCGGTGGAGTTGGCGAGGACCTGACCCTCCCCGGCTCACTCAACTCTTGTACATCTCACAGTCCACCGTAATTATATACATGACCCGCTCAAAGCTCACCATTTGTCATCATGGAAGGGTGTTTTCTCGCCTTCAACCCATAGGGCCGCTAAATGCTGCGTCTGGCCTCCCGAGACATGAGCTGGGTCGTATTTGAAGAGATTCTTTCCATTGGACTTTCTTTTATTAAAGAGGTCGTCCTCCTCTGCCGCTGTGTATGGAATGTCTTTCCAGCGTGATGCATCTTGCAGCTTCGGTACAAGCTCGCCGACGAGCGTCCGGATCTGCTGCCACTGTTCAGGGTAGCCGACATCACCCTCGGCTTCTTTCCAACTCTGCCTTGGGTGTATGAGGTAAGCCTTAATCCAGTCGTCCTCAATAAGATTCGCATTTAGTTTGGGGTGAAATTTCCCCCCCTTCCTCAACATGTCGAGGACGGTGAGTTTGAATAATTGTGCATCCGTTTGGCTCTTTGGTTTCCGCCACATGTTGTCGGGTGCGAATGAAACATTTTCCCACCAGTGCGTAGCATACACCCCCTTGCGGCTGACAATATACATGGTCGTGCAGCCTGAAAGGCCGCTCGTTCCCGTGCTGTACTGACTCCCCTCCTTTAAGCTGCTAAAGGTTTGCATAACGCCAGAGCTCATGTCGGAGGCGGAGCTTCCCTCAAAGTTTGGCGCGATCTCTTGGTCCACATTGGGAAGCTCTCTATGATAGAAGGCGCCCATACTGCGCTTGGGTAGCTCCATTCTTTTTCCCAGGGCCGTGACATTGCGCTCAAAGTAGATGAACCCTACACTGCGCTTGCTGGTATCACTGGCGGCTACCTTAGGCCCGCACTTCGAGCGGGTGGATCGTTTGACAAGGCCTGATGTGCGTTCCTCCCATACCTGGCCATCTGACCCATCTGCTGTAGTGTCAGTACGGTCACAAACTGCAGTGTTCTTGCGTTAGGCATGGGAGTCTGCTTACCGGCGATGAGGGCATTCGCAGAGACTGCGAAGGCCAGCCATGCTAGTAAGCATAGTAGTCTCATTTTAGATGACGCTTTATAATTGGTGACTGGTAGGAGTTCTTGAATTGATACGTGAGACGGTGTGTTTCGTTGTGATGATCACAGAAGTGGCTCTCAAACTTCATTTGCCAAAATGGCCCAACTTATAATGGCTGAAAAATACACGGGCCGGATATATTACTAGAATGAGCAGAGACTTCCTTCGGCTTGTTTCGATTTAGGGTCTGGCAAAAAATGATAATAATAGTCAGGACACTAAATGACTAGTACTAGCGTCCTTCCAAGGTTGTACAACATAATGAAGGATCAGTATTAATTAGGCCCGGGAATAGTCCAGCCCTAGCCCCTCTTTAGGAGCGAGACCACGATCGCTAATTTTTCTTTTAGATAAAGCATAATACACACTACCGTGAACTACAACCTTTACGATAAAAACAGCATTCTTAGAGTGGATTTTTTCTTAGTGAGGCTTTTTCTTCTCTCTTTTCTCATCCGTTGTCTGCGGTCTCACATGGCCTGGAACCGCAGATACCATACATAATACGACGTGAATCCCTCCATACATAGTCTGTGTTACTTCCAATTTGTGGAAAGATTGTGCAGAGGGAAGTAAACTAGTCTCGCGATAGATACAGCATCCCAGGCTATTTGGGAAAGGAAACACATACAAAGCATCATGATATTGTTTTCAATAGTTTGTATCATCCACATACCCTTTTGTATATAGTCAACCGTAAGCCTGTTAAGAGCGAAGGAGACTCAATATAGCCGGCTTATCAGAACGTTCTGACCTCTCGGCGAATTCCAAGGGGGATTCGTCATGGAATAGCGTGCCCGCTGGTCGAGCTGTGCGGTCGGCGCCGGCGTCTACCAGCAGTTTGATCATACTCAGCTTGGAAGCATCGATAGCACGGTGTAGAGGAGTGCCCCATATTTCATGCGTCGTGTTAACATCGAGGCCCTTGGCTAGAAGATACTTGGTCATGAATTCTCCTTGCCTCAAGCGCGGAGCTATGGCCTTAAAGAGTAGATGTGGTTCAAGCTTTGCCCCATGTGCAAGAAGCAGCTCAATTAGAGATGGGTCTTCTTCACGGGCGCTCGCAATGGCGCGGATGAGGGGGGATGCTCCCCTCTGGCTGCAACGGTTAGGGTCGGCGCCTCGCAAGAGCAATTCACGAGCAGATGCAGGGTTCGACTGAATGCTGTTACTATGAGTTAGCCCTGCATCTTTGGCTACCCAAGCGGACAATTTACCATAGAAGAGGCTCGCCGTCAGAAGTGGTCGCGTTAGGATCAAGGCCATGGTCGAAGAACTGGCGAATGATGCCTGGGAGCTCTTGTTGTTCCCCGCTGAGCCAGTCAACCGCAGAGGTCGCGCGAGCGCCGGCATCGAATAGCGCCGTCACAATATCAGGGCGTGCCTCCTCCGTCGCCAGTTTGAGTCCCTCGTCGAGGTCCTCAACAGTAAGTCGCCCGCTGGAGATGGCTTCTTGGGTGTTTGACAGATCACCGGCGGCGCATGCGTCGAGAAACTCCTCAACAAACGCCTCGTCAGCTTCCATGATACAGAGGCTCAAGATCAAAGAGGTCGGTGTAAAATGAGATGTGGTAGATCGGTTGAGTGTAGATCGGTTGAGTTTACGGATGCACAACAGTCAACAAGAGACATCTATGCATAAGCGGCGATTGTGGAAGCAGAGAGCGTTCCAAGGTGTCAGCGCATTGAAGTGGTACCTTACCACTAGCAAGCGATTGGTTACTCAGGAACCGACATTTCTTTGTGTTTTGTATGGTAAATTGGTTAAATTGCAATCCCGGTGTTGTAACCACCGAGTATCGGCACATTCGACACACCGAACAGGGAGTATTTCAACATGCGCCTGATCGCATGTTATTCTCTTCAATCAATCAATCTTTTTATCCTGAATTGGTTCCCCCTGATCTGATTCGCTATATATGCATACTAGTCTATACGCTTTTAGCTTGTTCTGACACAAGGTTCTCGCTATCAAAACCGGTACGGGTCAGTACCACTAGTAATTTAACTTGTACGGAATGGTACATGTATCAAAATTATTTCCAAGTTACCTCCATAGAACGACCACATTAAAATCCTCTGCCTGAATTGAAGGATTTGCTTTTTACAAAAAGTTTGAGAACCTCAACATCTGAAACGCCGTTACCTTCCAAGGTTGCACAGGAACTGGGGCCGTGGGCATGGCCAGGACCTAATTTCCACCCTCGCACTAGCTTGGGGGCGATAAATCTCTTTCCACGAGCACTACTAGATCGATTCGGACCCTATATGTCTCAGATTTATACGCGAGCCTCTAGTGAATTCGGTTCTAGTGGTTGTGCCAAGCAAAGAACAATGACTCTGGTAGGATGTATATTCGAATTCCGCGATCCTTGGCTTGTTTGGATTTTGCCGACATTCCCGTGCTTGAATTTATCTCTCAGAGGGGCCTCGGTCAGCTGCTTGGGGATATCGAGCGTGGAATTTCGCCGGAGCTAAGCATTGTGGCAAGAACCCGGATCGACTTTACTATTTACGGAAACGGGCACAATAGAAGCCCCGGAGCTGGAATACTATATAATGAATACATTCTTTCCAGTCTATAGAGTATTAGCGTTATTGGTAACTTTGTTGAAGGGATCGGAAGTCATAATACTCTTCACTAGACGGAATGGCTCCCCCGTTGCGGTTTTTTTCCTCTCTCGTCCTCCTCTTCTCTATACTCGCTCAGCCGTACTTTGCGAATGGGAGTAATGATTACTTTGTGGTGGGCGACCTAAGCCAGTATACCACGAATGGAGTATGTGCCGCTTACCAGCAGTCTTTTATATCCGAGGAACTCCTCCTGACAAAGCGACTGACGCTTATCTAGGTCCCTACCCCGTCTCTGACAGGCTCTGTGATTGAGGTTTCTGCAGTGGGCGATCCAACCGAAGATGGCGTTTTGGTATACCTGTCTCCTGATATGCAGACCAGCCTGAAGTCTGCCATGGATAGCAGCTGCGAGGCCGAAATCGATTCGGGGTGCTATCAAGCCGTCATGAACGTCCTCGACGATGCAAACAATGTGATTGAATCCCACAGCCTGAATAAACGCGGACTAGAAGAGCGGAACGCGGGCCTTCTGGCTGCTGGCCTTGTCTTGGTTGCTGGTTTTTTGTTTCCCGTCATGTATGAGGGAGACCATGTAGTCCCGGTGCCATCAAGATCCCAGCAGCGCAAATCGAGGATTCCTTTCAACTCGAAACCGCTACTGCCATAATCATCGTGACCGATGATAGCGCGCATCAAATGACAGTCACAGCACCCCCAGAGCAGAATAAGGCGACTGGGTAAGCTAACAATCCCACCACCTCCCCCTTTGCCCACTGTCCCATTCTATGCCAGGGCGACTGAGCTGACATCCCTTCGTTAAGCTCTCCAGCCACAATCACAACCTTTGCAAGTGCCGGCAACGGCGGGAGCAAGGGGGACGTGGACATCAAACTAGATGCGGCCGTGGCAGCGCATCTTCAGAAGCTGCTATCCGGCTCGGACAACAGCAACTGCGATGTGGGTGACGACTTTTTCAATCCAATCCAAGCTCGCGCGCTGGACCTGAGCAATGTCATATGTGGTGCTCAAAACATCCTCGCTGACGGCATCGACCGGGGTGGGTTCCCTGACTGGCTCCTCATGAAACCGACAGGGCTGCCGTGGACCAGGGCGGAGGTTGTAGCAGGCGTGAACAGCGTGGTGCAGTGGGCACTCACTCAGGCCACCTTTCTGAACCCGACTATCACCGGAACTCAGCTCCACGGCTTGGCTGTCGGAGCCTTCGCTCTTTCGTGGATCTATTTCAACAACGGTGGCATCAAGACAAACAACATTATTCCCTCGGTATCCCTACAGGGTGGTGCCAGCGCCACCTCTTGCCAGGAGCAGACGGCTACACAATGCGGTGCAGAGTGTGGTGTGCTTTCGTGGGCGCCTCAATTCGACTGTACCACAACCTGCTCAACGGTCACAAGCTGCGACGCCCAGTCGGCACTCTCTACGACGGTGACAAGCACCAAGACGGCCACCGGTTCTACGCCGACGGGGGGTTCTTCGGACGCAAACGGGCAGCAGATCGCGGTGGCGTCGTACATCAATCCGCTCGCAGACCCTTCTGCCTGGAACCGCCTGATCGGGTATTCTGTGGATAAAATGCCTATCTTGGTTGCCAACGTCGTCAATGGTCCGGACTCTACCAAGAACACGAACTGGGTTGACGTTATCGATCGAGCCTCGGCTTCTGGTAAAACGGTCCTCGGCTATGTGCGAACCGGATACCTTGGTGTGAGCGATCAGAGATTCCTAACGCGGCTTGGCTCAGGTGACTTGGCGGATTGGACCGCTCAAATTGAGGAAGATATCGATATGTGGTACACACTGTATGGCAGCAGTATCGGTGGTATCTTTTTCGACGAGGGTTGGCCTGAATGTGGCACCAACAATAAATACGTGGACCTATACAAGTACATCAACGACTACACCAAGCGTGCCCACCCCGGCGCGTACACAGTCCTGAATCCTGGGTCACCTATGGAGGCTTGCTTCGAGGATACCATGGACACACTATTGACTTTTGAACTGAGTTACACTGCTTACACCGGATCCTACACACCGAATACCTGGGTACCAAAGGACCCGCGGAAGCTCTGGCACATTGTATACAACGTGCCGGAATCCGCGATTGGCGAGGTAGTCAAGTTAGCTAAGGAACGCGGAGCTGGCTTCCTTCAAATCACAGATGACATCATGCCCAATCCATACGATAATCTACCTGGCGACTCCTACATGCTAAGCATGGTGAAGGAAGTGGAAGGTGGTTCTCTGTTGAACACCGATGCGACATCCTGGAAATCTGGAAAAGTTGCAGGAGAGATGTCAACACTGACAGTTGAGGCATTTGACTATACTTCTGCTCGATTATCCTGGGCGCTGGCCTCAAATGCTCTGGGATACAAGGTGTATTCGGGCAACACTGTCGTTGCAAGCGTCCCAGACTCAATGACTACAATCACGCTTGGTGGCCTCAGCCCAGGAGCTAGCCATGCGCTCCACGTGGCAGCTGTGGGAGGAGGCGGCCAGATGGGATCCTCTTCGAACACGGTCACGGTCAACACCCAATCTTTGCCAAGCGGGAAGACCGTCACCAATTGGAAGTCAGTTCCCAGTGAGGGGTTGACTACAATCAAGGCTGATATTCTCGTTCCTTACGCCTTCATCCGACTCTATATCTGGGACCAGGTGGGATGCGATTTCGATACCGATCCGGGATGGAGTGTCAACTTCAAAGTTGACAAATACGTCTGCACCAAGTACATGGTCGAGGACACAACGCTATACAAATACACTGGCACCGTTCCTGCAGGCTCTACAGCTCCGCCTTGGTCTTGGTCCAGCATCGGGACCGTTACTCTTGATATCACGGACTACACGTACACGTGGACATTGCCTCTGGGAACCGCTACCATTGACACGAGCAAATTCGTGATTCAAACAGAAGGCTACAATCCGACGGAAAGCTATGCCGTGCCAACTCCCGACGATTATGACTGCGAGGGCTCGATTATGTGCTCGACCCCAGATCTTTTGAAGTGGTGTGACCACGCCGTCAATGTGCTACATCGAACCGACTATCTTGATTACTCGACTACGTGAGTTAATCCCATGACTTTGGTCTTCGGTCTCTTGCTCCATTGGCATTGGCATTGAAAGATTGTGTTGTACCTCTTACTCTCAACTGATTTACTAACTTTGCCTCTCTAGTGGCTCCTCTCTCGATGGAAACTGCTGGGGCGATCAGACTCGGGGCTGCAAAGTCTTCATACAAGGTGACAACTGCAGTATCAGTGGTAACGACATGTGGAATGACTACCAAAACATTCGCAAAATTGGCGGCTGTAAAAAGTGTGGCACGTACCACATAGGACAGGGCTGTCTAGTTACTATCGACTATGTCTACGGATGTAACAACCACTAGACTGAGGTGGCTGATGGAGGGGGCTACGGCGTGCTTCACTGTTCTTCGGTACCCCGTTTTCCTACATTTTGCCCCGGGAGGGAAAAGAACAAACATTAATGAGTAGATCTGGTTTTTATAGAGCTTTCCTGCCCCACGGGCCAAATGAACAATTTGTAAATTTCAAAATTCCACTGGGTTTGCGTACACACAGCCTGCACCCCCTAAGGAGGATAGATATCATGGCACCCTCGACAAAATCGACGGCTGATAGTCGGTGTAGACACATTCTATTTAATACAACACCATAGCCGAGTGCTACATGCACATAACTTTAATCAGGTTACATACTGGAAGAAATATTGAGGTGGCACCCATTTGGGCACAGTGAGATTTGGCATAATTATTACAACAATAGTCGGCCGCTTATGGGGCCTTGTTCTGTCCTTTGTTGGTCTTTTTGGATAGTCTTTTTAGATGTCCTTTCGATGTCTTTTCGATGTCTTTTAGGTGTATACGAAGGCGGTAAAAAGAGCATAGTTTATGCAAGAGAATTTTCTATGTATAACCTTGGATACAGGTTGGAAAGACAGAATTTGGTTGGGGTATAGATGTAAAGCAATTTTCTTTCTCTGGTCTTCCTAATTGGCCACAAACTGCAGCGGGCTCTCAGCTTCTTCCTCGGATTCAGTCGGGCGAATTGAAGCTCCGAGTCAAATAGAATTTCGGCCACTGAACAGCTCAATCCCGACCTTGATTCACAATAAGTTGACTGTCTCGCTCGGTATCGAGTAACTTCCGCTGCTCTTACGGCAGATAATATGCTTTCCATCAACATTCCAAAGCATGCCACGCCCGATCAATACGAGTTGTCCGAAGTTCCCTCGCTGGCCGTGGAACGCCCCACCGACATCTTGATCAAAGTCCATGCCGCGAGTATCAACCCGATAGATGTTAAAAAAGCCTCTGGAGCAACCAAACTGGTCCTCCGGGACAGGTGAGAGTCTCCGTGGTCCCGGATTTATTTCTCAATCTAACTTATATGTGAAGTTTTCCATACAAAATTGGCTATGACTGTGCGGGTACGGTTGTCAACACCGGATCCCAGGTAACGCGCTTCAAGGCCGGTGACGAGGTCTTTGTTCGATTGCCAGAATGTCACCGGGGATCATGGAGTGAGCTCGCAAGGTCGACTGAAGAATTCGTGGCCTTGAAACCGAAGGGTCTTACTATGGAAGACGCTGCCTCAATTCCTTTGACGTCTATGACGCCACTGCAGGCACTCGGGGTTATGAAGGCGATCTCGAAGGAAAAACTGTTTTTATACCTGCTGGGCGTAGGTTTCTCTCAAATTCCACTATTACAGATTGGATGCTTACCTTGTCACAGTGGGTGGAACTGGCCTTTTCGCATGTCAGCTAGCAAAAAATATTTTCAAAGCTGGCAAAGTGATCACCACCGTTTCCACCGCCAAAGTGCCCAAGGTGAGGGAGTTGTGGACGAAAGTAAGTAGACTCCGTTTCAGACTCAAACGGCAAGATGAACTCACATCTACTGTACCAGTCATCGACTATACAAAGTCGGACCCCAAGGCTGTTATTCCTCCGAAATCCGTCGATTTTATTTTCGACACCACAAGTAGTGCGATGGCGTATCTATCACTAATGCGACCAAACGGAGCCATCGTTACAGTGTCTATACTCACATCGGGAGACGTTCTCCAAAACTCCAGCGTTATGCGACGATCGCCAGACAAGCAAGACAAGGCAACCGTGCCCTTCCCTATCCGTATTAGCTTGAACGCGATGGATCGAATCCGAGTGGCTCGTGCATCTCGCTATGGGGTCAAATACTCATCTATCTTTTTGGAACCAAATGCGATCGATCTGGACTCGATTCGGCAATGGGTGGAAGCGGGAAAGTTGAGTACGATTGTGGGAACAAGGTTAGACTTCAAGGATATTGAGGCTGTTCGGAATGCATCTCAAGTGGTCTTTGATGGGAGAGGGGGCGTTGGAAAATCTGTGATTGTGTTTGTCTAGATATATTTTGTTAGATGAATACGTTGACTCCTCCATACATCTTTAATACCGGTATCTCAGTATTGGTTTTTTCTCCAAAAAAAAGGTCTAGAGCACAACTAAATAAATACCTGTGCGAGAATTCGTCCCCCAAATTCGTCCCCCAAGTTCGATCTAGGAATACTTGCACGAAACTTTTCTTTCTGACACTTTTCACGCAGTAGGTAAATCGGGTCCCTACCGGTGGAGATCGAGAGCTGCTAACTCGCACCAGCTGAAGTCTGTTTAGCCTTGTGTCGGATAGATTGTTGGCCCGACTGTCGTGATAAGGTTTAGGTGGACCCAGACCCTGCAGCATGGTGAACCCTCTGTTTTTAGGTTATGACATGCGGGATCTTCCGCCACCTTCTGCTACAGAGCAGTATACTGATGAGCAATCACTCCAGTCCAACATGCCCCACGGCATTTATACACCGAGGTATATGGATAACCCCTGTCTGAAGGCAACCTCGGCAGCTGATCCCGAGTATCCATCTTCCATTCCTACGTGCTGGCGTTCTTAATTTGATTTGTGAGATCCACCTTTCATAAATCAGTAGTTATAATAACCATGTTTCTCAATTATTGGTTTGAAATTCGTACATGAAATCAACAAGTAGGCCCTGTCTGGCGAAAGATCGTTGTTCAATAATGGAATCAGATATCAAGGAACCACTCAAACTACCATGCGGTTTAGTCCTGCCCAATCGCTTGGTGAAAGTAAGGCAAAATGCAACCACACTCTACGTGATGACACCAGCTGATGACTCTTTGCCTAGGCTGCTATGGCCGAAGGAATGGCAGAGAAGAGCCATTTACCTGGCACGCGGATTTCTTGCGTCTACGGTGAATGGGCAAAGGGCGGATGGGGTGCCCTTCTCACGGGTATGAAGATCGTTTTTGAGTCGGTTTTGGCGTTGAATCTAATGATGTGGGAAGGAAATATACAGGTCGATGTTCGTCATCTAGGGGGCTACGGTGATCTGGCTACACGTGAGTATCAAGAAGATGAGTGGCAATCATTCTATGCTTGGAAGCAATACGCAGATACCTGTCAACAACACGGTACACCCGCGGTCGCTCAGATATGTCACCCTGGCCGCCAGTCCCCGAGAGGTGCAGGTGAACGGGGCTTTTTTGGGAAAGCTATTGCGCCGAGTGAAATTCCCCTCGATATCGGAAATGGGTGGGTTGCGGCTATTGTCAAGAACATGGTTTTTGGGGTGCCAAAAGCTATGTCCCGTTCCGATATTGGTCGGGTCATCGCCCAGTTTGTAAATTGTGCCCGCATTTTGGCGCAGTGCGGCTTTGGGGGTGTTGAGATACACGCAGCGCACGGTTATCTTTTGTGTAAGATTTTCACCTCTTGATCTCAAGTCAGACTCATCGGCGTACGTCGCTTAACTGGAACGTGGATATAGCGCAATTCCTCTCCCCACGAGTAAGCAACAGAATTCTACCCACCATGTGGAACCACAGTTTACCTAATGTGCGACCATAAACCCACAGAGCAATATTCGTCAAGATGAATATGGTCCTAGCGCTGAAGGACGAGCCCGTATTGTTCTTGAAATCATCCACCAGATTCGAAGGGCTGTTCCTGCCACATTCTGCGTCGGGATCAAGCTGAACTCCGCCGATCATGATACATCAGAATTTGAAGAAACCATGACTCAGATTCGTTTCTTTTCTGAGGCCGGTGTGGACTTTCTAGAAATATCTGGCGGAAGTTATGAAGACCCAACGGTACGTATAGTGAATGATATTTCTCTGCCCTCGACATTCAAGAACAGCAGCCCAAACTACTGTTGTCTAGTTCGCCCATTTCACCCTTATACACGATGTTCCAGTGCAGTCCAACTAGTAGACTTTTGAATCAATACGCTGACGGTGGTTAACATATCCAGATGATGGGCCGCGGGCTGCGAGACGAAACTAGCAACGTCAAGAGTGAAGATACAGAACACCGGGAAGCCTTTTTCTTGGATTTTGCGACACAAACAAGGAAGCGATTCCCGAACCTCGTTCTTTTACTCACTGGAGGATTTCGAACCCGCAAGGGAATCGAGGCCGCGTTGAAGGGTGGCGTTTGCGACATTGTTGGTATCGGCCGTCCAGCAGTTCTCAACCTGGACTTCCCACTGCTCATGATGGATGATATATACTCTGACCAAGAAGCCCGGGTGGTGTTTTCTAAAGTTCCAATCCCATTCTTGGCGAGGCTACTCAAAATCAGAATGTTGGGTGGAGGCGCAGAAACAGTAAGTTTTCTATTGATTATACTTCCACCTCCGCACATCGGTTCTGACATCAACTAGCAATACTTCCGTGGTCAAATTCACCGCATAGCCGCTGGACTTGTTCCACATGCACCATAAGCACTGGGTCTTGCGTTAATAAGCATGCAGCAAGCGACGGGCGATGGCGAGATGATGGGCAACCTTTTTTTATCGTGAGAATTGGTAATTCTAGTTCATATAGAGTCTGATACATCTTTTTAGGAAGTTTGCCTTATGGTGTTAATTCAATCGGAATAAGAATGGCTCTTCTAGGAATTTGTACCAGCGATGTTTAGTGTCTGACGACGGTTGGATAGCCTCAATGGCAGTATCACAGCAGTGTAAAAAGCGTAGGCAATCCCATGCACTAATTTCATGAATCGGGGACCCCTCATGACTACCAGGTCAAGGTAAATAGAGTGAATTTACCGAGAATTGGGGGTTGACATACCTATTGTAGTGGGTAAACAAGGAGCGGAGGACCGCATCTGTATGAAGAAAATTTCTGGAGTTCTTTGATTGGTCGATTTAACGCAGGTGGGCATAATCTCCTAAATCGATGATCTCGATGGGCAATTTGTGATGTTCCTACCCAAATCTATACTCTCCCTTGTAATTCCCGACCCCGAGCCGGCCCAATTGTTCGCCCGCCTCCCGCTTCGTTATAATGCGTCACATATTGTTGCCTCCAGAACGGCCGGACAATGTCGATCTATACTACGCCGTAGAGTATATGCCGAGGTTAAAGTTGACCTGGGATATTTTAGGAATAAAAGTAGGCGGATTAAAGTAGGCGCTCTTCTGTGCGCTCTCAGCACTGCTTGCGACTTCGAACGAAATCGCGGGAACGTAGCTGTGCAATTGGCGAAAGGGGCGTAGAGTATTTCGACTCTCGTGGTGTTTGCTTATGGCCTTCCGAGGATGCTCCTTCGGAGCTACTGGCCCTGCTATATCCAGACTCGTCCACCAGTCTTGTCCGGGCTGTTTGTGACGAGCGGTCCCTCATATACTCTACCTCTGCTGAAGGATTGCCCCCCCCCATATGCTGGTTCTCATCAACTTCGACCCTATGATACACTTTCCTTATCTGACCTCCCTGCGCAAACAGAAGGTGAGCACAAAGTTAACCCGAAAAGTGCTTGATGCGCCGCGGCCTGATCTTCATTCTTCCCGCCCGCTCGTACAAAATGCGAAGGCATCTCACCTAGCTATTCGTCAAAGCTATCGACCGTGATAAAATGTGAACTTCCAACTCCCATGCTCTAGAGATGAAAATGGAATCACGCTATAGTACTTTGTTGCTCATGTCCTTCGTTAGTATTGTTTTATGGGTCTACCGACATCATCAAGGATGATGTTATCATACCGATTACCTAATGCTCTTCGTGGCTGAGAACTAGGGCTATATTGCCCACCATTTGGTCTAGCTCAGTGATTGGATAGCTAACAATAGAAACAGCCTTGTCGCTCGCTTGGCGCTATTTAGTTGGGCTTGCTAATAGACAAGGACCGTGCAATGTGCGGATATTTACGGAACTTTGTCGCAGCGCTATAGATATATGACCTTCCTGAACCTGTCTCCTTTAGAGACACAGAGCCAAGCCCTATTGATATATATATATATATACAGATAAATAGCGTCAAACAATCTATAGGGGCCTTAGTGGATCCAATATCGGGTACTTTGCTTGCAATAACTCATCATGTATATATAATAGTTCTATCAACATTAACTGGTAGATAAGTATGCCCATTAGGAAAGAAGAATACCCTTTAGAGCTTAGATTGTTCTACTCCAAGAAGGTGGACTGATCGTACATTGGTGAGTAAAATATGATCGATATTAGAGGGCTCAACGGTAAATCACCGAAGTTAAGGATTAAGGTCGGTGAAACCCTATGATAATCTTTAAGCTTAGTGATACAATTCTACGAGGTTGACCTTATTTACCTTCGTTTTTCGCGGAGTCCCAATTCTAGAAGCTCAGCATTTGTGGAGCTTCTTTTAAATGAATGCTTGCTGTCAATAACGTTTCGTGATTTACGGCGGGTGCCCTTGACGACCTCACTAAACTCTGGCAAACTGTTAGTAGCAACAATAAACTTCAATTAAGGGTGCCTACCTAAACAATCATTTCTATCGAGTAGACCAAAAAACTTAGGGTGACCTATGCAGCTATAATTATCATTAGACCACATCAAACACTAACGATCATAATCTATGATCTCAAGTATTCCGGCTTAGGAAGTGCATGCGTCAAGTATAACTGAAGACATATATGATACTCAGTCTTTAGGTGTTTGGCGCAAAGATGACTAGTCTACGCCAAGACCCACTGGTGGGTCGATATCCCAAACCCAAACCCAACCCAAAACCCGTTTCGACACGTTTCGACCCATTCTCTGTATTATTTTCCGGATTAGGCAATGCCAAGCTACATAATTTGGCTTATATAATATTGATAAATTACGGTTTTTTAACGTAATCGGTAAGCGAGCTGCGCATGTAAGCCAGCTACGCAGCCCAAAACATATAGTAACTCTACATATAGATCTCAACAACAACCACTTATTATCTTAGTTTATTTGTAGTCGATAGCTATTGATAAGGCTTATAGACTCTACATATCAATCTTAAGGGAATTGAAAACCTGCATTGTTATGGTAACGAAAATTACCGTGCTCTGAGTTAGAAATATATATCTACTCAACCCCTAGGCTTCGGAAATTTTTAAAAGTTCTTAAGAGGCTAGTTATTACATAAAAGATGGTATGCTATAAGGAGAAGTCTTTATAGATCACTATTATTAAGATATCAAGTTATAATTTATCATTTTTACCATATGTTTTAGGCTGCGCAGCTGGCTTATATACGTAGCTCGCTTACCGATTACGTTATCACTATTTTAATATGTCTACCATAATCATCTAGTAATCCAACTAATATGTCTCTTTAATAGAGAGTAATAACTATATAAATGGTGGGTTTATATTAGTTATACGGTATTTAAATATCATATTGATTTATTTTATAAGTGCGATATAATATATATTATAGTGTAAAATTGTAAAGATATATATTTAATACATTTAACAAAGTTAGAAGATAGTAATATATAAATTCAGAATTTATATATATATAAAATACTAAAAAAAACCACCTAGAACTATATAAATTATATAGTTATATGAAAGTCACGTTTTTACGATTTAATAGGTTTTAATAGGTTTAATAGGGGCCTATAGATTAGGTTAGGTTTTAGCGTAGCCTAGGTGTTAGTCGGTTAGCTCTCGTTAGCCTATTAGTGTAACTACGGGATTATCATCGATTAGTGACTAGTATATCTATAACACTATATTTAAAATTTAATTCTATTTACACGACCTCCGTGTATACCCTATTTGTCTATATATAGTACACTTTAACGGTGCCTTATTTCTCTTCTATATAGGTTCGACTACACTACCTTACTCTAATTGATCTAGCTTTCGCTTCTTAGGCCTTAGTAAAGGAATTAGAGGCTCTAAAAGTGGGAGATATTCTGATTTAGTTTCGTAAAGGCCGGTCTTCTAGAATAGGTAGATATTAGCTAATAGAATAGCTTTATTACTCCTTAGTAGAGTAGAAATCTAGTGCGTATAAGGAAGGCCTATTATCCTTATAAAAGTATTCGTATAGGGAGCTAAAGGGGTAAGATCTATAGCTCTTTTAGCCTTCGAAACTTACTTACTAATTCGTCGAATCGAATATCGAGAGGTCCTAGTTATTATATTAGTATAAAGCTCTTATAATAGTACTATTACCTTCTTAATTTAATCTCTTATAAGATCATATTTAAGGGTAGTATATTAGGCTTATAAAGCTTATAAAATCCTTTCGAATATAAGTAATATATCCCCTATTAAAGCTCCTATCAGCCGGAAATACACTTCCCCGTCCCGTCATTTCCTATATTTACTTTCTAGCTGTAGGGCCCACTTTAGCTCTACTTAGTTAGTAAGCAGCAAGCTACCAAGCTAAGCAACTTGCTCCTTTTTAGAAATTACACTCATTTTACCACTTGCTCTATATAGTAAGCTTTTAGTATTAGTTTATATCAGTCCCACTTGTTCGATAGTTATAAGCCCGGTTAGCTAGTAACTCTCCTAATATCTTTAGTAGATTACTCTACGGTTGCTTCTTTAAGCTCCGTACCCCTAAACCACTAGAGCCGTAGTAAGTGCTATATAGCTAGTGTAATTAGTAAGCGCTATAAAGCACGAAGCCGCCCTCTTCCACTCCTCCGAATAATAAGTACGAACTATATGACGCCGAGATATCACTCCTTTACGATAATCTCGCTCCTACGAGTGCCGCCGACTAGGTAATAAGCACCCCGAGAGTACGGATCATCCTTAAGAACTCGCTCTAATAGCGAACCTAGATTATATAAGTGGAAACGATTATATAAAGCCTAGATATTCAGAGATATATTAACCTAGAGGTCCCCGAAGAGAAGCAGATTAACCCTCTAGTAAGGCTAGTGCGCCCGAGTAAGGACGACGAAAAGTACGCTAAGGATCTAATAAGTAGGCCTTGATAAGTGCAGCTACACCTCGAGAAATTTGGTATAATAGCCCGGTGCTATAGGGTGTAGCGGTACCTTAAGAAATTTAGTGTAATTACCCGGTATAGCGAACGATAGTATAGCTATATCTCTTAGCGGTGTAACTAGGTGCTGCTAAGGCTAGATTTTGCTAAGAAATTACCCTATTAGGCTTAATACCGCCGATCTAGTAACTAATAAGGCCGTAATTTATATAAATTATATATATATATCACGGGATAAGCCGAATTAGGCAATATTTATATTATTTATAGTGCAGCTATACTATAGCTAAAGTACCGCTACACCGAACCTCGCCCTTAGTGTAGTCGGCCCCACGTACCACTACACCGAACTAAGGCCTTAGTGCAGCCGTTACACTAGTACCGTTACACCGGTACCGCTGCACTTATTAAGGCCTAGTTAATACTTACCGCTCTAAATAAGCGCTCTTTAGTAAGAAGAGAACTAAAAGTAAGGTACTATATAGAGCCTTTATAAATCTTAATAGCGA